AAGCGATGGCCATGGGTCTGGGCAGAAGACAACCCCCCAGTGTTGGCAGTAAACCAAGCCCTGGTAGTTACTGAAGTAAAGCTGGGGGCATGACCATTTAAACAGAGGTGGTACCCAGTACCAAGAAAAGCCCTTGAGGGCATCCAGGTCCATATCAGACACCTAAAAGCCTATGGTATTATAGATCCCTGCCAGTCTCTTTGGAACATGCCTCTCCTGTCTGTCCCCAATCTGGGGACCAAGGACTATAAACTGGTACAGGATCTACGCTTGGTCAACCAGGCAACTGTGATGTTGTTCCCCATGGTGCCCAATCCCTATTCATTGCCAGGACTCCTGCCAGCTGAGGCCAGCCCTTTCACTTGCTTAGACTTAAAGATGCTTTCTTCAGTAACCAGTTAGCCCCTGAGAGCCAGAAACTGTTTGCCTTCCCATAAGAAAACCCGGAGTCAGGTGTAACAGCACAGTACACCTGGACTCGGCTTCCACAGGGATTCGAAAACTCCCCGACCGTCTTCTGAGAGGCATTGGCCCGGGACCTCCAGAGATTCCTCACCAAGGACCTAGTTTGTGGGCTGCTTCAGTATGTGAATGAGTTTTTGCCAGGACACCCGGTAGCAGCCAGATGTGCCCGGGGAACTAACTTGTTGCTCAGACATCTGGACACCTGTGAATACAATGTCTCCAAAGGGAAGGCCCAGGTTTGCCAGCAGCAGGTGTGCTGTCTGGGATTTATTATCCAGCAGGGGCAGTGAAGCCTAGGAATAAAAAAAAAACAAAAAAAAATATAAAAAAGCAGGTTATCAGTAACCTGCTGGTGCCTAAGAATCAAAGGCAGGTAGGAGAATTCTTGGGGAGTGGGATTCTTCAGACTGTGGATTCCTAACTTTGCAGTTTTGGCTAAACGCCTGTATGAAACCACAAAAGCGGGGCATGGAGAGCCATTTGAGTGGCACTCAGAGCAGCAGGGGAACCTTCTCACAGTTACAAGCAAAACCGATGACTGTCCCGGCTCTGGGACTGCTGGACTTGACAAATCAAGTCCATACAGTCCACATTATGCTGTATGTGTCTGAGAGAGAGAAAATGGCAGTGGGCATCCTGACCCAGACTGTGGGCCCATGGCCTTGACCAGTGGCATACTTGTCCAAACAACTGGATGGAGTTTCCAGGGAATGGCCCCCATGTCTACGAGCCTTAGCAGCCACTGCCCTACTGGCACAAGAGGCTGACAAGCTCACTTTGGGGCAGAATTTAAAGATAAAAGCCCCCCACACCATGGTCACCTTAATGAACATGAAGGGCCATCACTGGCTCACCAGTGCCCGCTTGACTAAGTACCAGCACCTACTGCGCAAAAATCTGTGCATCACCATAGATGTTTGTATCACCCTAAATCCAGCCACCTTACTCCTGGTGTCTCAGGACCTGGTAACACATAACTGCTTAAAGGTGCTGAACTCAGTTTATTTCAGTCAGCCGGATCTGTGGGATCAGCCATGGTCTCAGGCTGATTGGGAACTGTATGTGGACAGAAGCAGTTTCGTCAGCCCTCTAGGGGAAAGGTGTGCTGGATGTGTGGTGGTGACTCTGGACTCAACGCCAGAGGCCAAGCCATTACTTCAAAGCACCTCAGCACAGGGAGCAGAGTTAGTAGCCTTAACTTGTGCCTTCGAATTAAGTGAAGAAAAATCTGTTAACATTTTCACTGACTCACGGTATGTGTTCCTCACTGTCCACGTACATGGGGCACTGTCCAAGGAGATGGGCCTACTTAACTCTGGGGGCAAAGAAATAAAATACCAACAGGAAATTTTGCAGCTACTGAAAACAGTATGAAAGCCCCTGAAAGTGGCAGTCATACACTGCAGAGGACATCAGCAAACCTCTGCCACAGTCACCCAGGGAAATGCCTGTGCAGATGCGGAGGCCCAAAGGGTCACATCCATCCCATAACGGGCATCAGTCACAGCCCCCCTACTTGCCCCAGGCCCTAGACTTGCCAGTTTACTCAGAGGGAGAAAAAATTTCCTCCAAACTGAAGGTGGAAAGGTTAAAATAAAGGGAAGATGGATATGCCTGCCAGATGGATGGGTAGCAGTGCCACAGCTGTTACGACCTGTAGTGGTCTTAGCTGTCCATGAAACCTCCCACCTTGGTCAAGAAACCCTTGAAAAATTGTTAGGCTGGTGTTTTTACATATCTCATTTATCTGCGCTAGCAAAAACAGTAACACAATGGTGTGTAACATGCAGACAGCACAATGCCAGACAAGGACCTGTGGTCTCACCAGGAATCCAGCCTTATGGAAGTGCTCCTTTTAAAGACTTGCAAGCTTTTAAGGGATTTCACCAAGATGCCTAAGTGCAGAGGTAACCGGTATCTGCTGGTTCCGGTATGTCCTTACTCCAGGTGGGTAGAAGCCGACCCATCATGGACTGAGAAGGCCCATGAAGTGACTCGTGCTCTTTTAAGAGACACGGAGACACCGTCCCTGGATTTGGACTGCCTTTGCGGGTAGGCCCAGTAACGGGCCTGCATTCATAGCTGACCTGGTGCAGAGTACGGCAAGAATGCTAGCAATAAACCAGAAACTACATGCTGCCTGCCGGCCTCAGAGTTCAGGCAAAGTGGAGTGAATGAACCGAACTATAAAGAATAGTTTAGGGGAAGTGTGCCAGGAGTTGGGGTTAAAGTGGGTACAGGTCCTTCCTATGGTTTTGTTTAAAATTAGATGTACGCTTTCTAAAAACACTGGCTATTCCCCTTATAATATCCTGTATCACAGGCCTCCCCCCCCTTCTCTGAGGGCTTCCAGGGACTCCCCAGGAATTAGGGGAAACTATGATGGCAATTACAGGCTTTGGGAAAGGTGGCAGAGAAGGTGTCTAAATGGGTTAATGAAAGATGCTGTGCCAGCTTATTCTCCCCAGTTCACCCTTTCTCACCAGGTGACTGAGTTTGGATCAAGGACTGGAATGTGGTCCCCTACAACTGAGATGAAAAGGACCCCAAACTGTCATTCTGACAACTTCAACTGCCATGAAGGTCGAGGGAGTTCCTGTGTGGATCCATCACAGCCATGTGAAACGTGCAGCACCAGACACCTGGGAAGCAAAGCCAGATCTCCATAACCCATGTAAGATCACCTTAAGGAGAACCAAGACAACAAGCCCTGCTGTGTCACACCCTGGAAGCTGACTGGTCTATGCAGGGCCAAAGCATGAGGACTGCCTCTGTCGGATGGGTACTCCTTCTCTCTGGACTACGGACTTGTATCTTTGCTACCCCGGTAGATGTAAATCCCCCATCCAAGGATTGTTCACAGTGCATACATAAGGTTACTAAGGTAGAACAAAATGTTACCACAGTTCTCTTCTTCTACAGTTATAATGAATGCACCAGAACTCACAAAGGAACTTATTTATATCATGCTACCCTATACTGAGTGTGCAGCCCAGGGAGCAACCAACCTGATGTGTGTTATACCCCATCTGAACCTACCATGTCCTCCATATTTGAAATAAGGCTAAAAACTGGTCCCTTCTTAGGGGACACAAGTGAAGTAATTACAAAAGCTAAAGGAGGGGTATGTGAAAATTCACCTTAACTACCCGTTGCCTGCAAATAGATGACCAGGGTCAGGTGGTTAAAAATACTGTAAGGGACATCAACAACACTGGCACATGTACCTGTACAGGCCTGGCACGGGTTTGACCCTGAATGAATGTTTGTGAATTGGTTTCCTACTATAGGAGGGCTCAAGACCATTATCATACGTGTGTTACTAATAATAGGGACATGCACATTGCTCCCCTGCTTAATGTCCTTGCTGCTGCAAGTGATAAAAGGATTTATTACTGCTGTGGTTCAAGAAAAAACGTTAGCACAGGCTTGTTACATGAACCACTACCAATCTGTCTCACCAAGAAAACCCCAACAGCGAGGCTGAAGGTAAGACTGAGAATTTTCACTAAAAAAAAAAAAAAAAAGGTAAGTGAGATTCTCCAAGGGGGGTGAGAGGGGAGACCCCCCTCACCTCCTTCTATTTCACCTCCTCCCTTCCCCCCTTCCAGATGGAAAGGAGAGTGAAGAAGGAAAAAACTAAAATACCTAAGAGGGAGGCAAATAACTCCCTTTTTCATTCCCAGCGTCTCTGTGATCTGTTAACATACATTTGCAGCTCTTTCAAGGTTATCTCTGCCAGCTGGAGCCGGGCACTGGGTCACACCCCCACATCTCCATGGACCAGGCTCCCTCCTGCAAACATCTCTGCCAACAAACAGCTTGTTGGCTTTGTCTTGTCTCTGTAAGGCCCCCTTCCCCATGCCAGTCCCCATGCACCCTGCATATGAATTAGCAAATCAATGAACCCAAAAGATTGCAAGGTCAGACATCCATCAAATGGACAAGGACATGGTTCCATCTCAGTTTCCTCTTTAGTGTTGTAAGGCTATAAAAGGGGAGAGAAGCTGCAGCTCAGGGAGCTCGGTGAATGAGGCTGTAGCCCCCTGCAGCTCCCTGGATAAAAAGCCACTTCCTTCCTCAGTTTGGTGTTCGAGAGGTTTGTTCCTTGCTGCTCCTGCTTCAGTTTCATAGTGCATCCGACCACGAAGGGACCCCTTGGGTAACTCCAGACTCACTCACACCAGTGTATTAAAAATCGCCTGCATTTCTGAGAGGCTGGCTGTCCTTCTGGTGCTTCACAGGAAGACCTGGGCTTTCCCCCTTCGGATGCCCGAAGGAAGTGCTTTGTGGCCTCCCTCCAACCCCAGGCCCTTCCATGGGTCTGGGCTCCCTGGTGGGCACTGCAACCTCCCTGGACATTTTTCTCCTGCACTAGCACCACTGAAACATATAGACCTGAGTGCTGTTGTATTCTGGCTTAGTGTGTATCCTTTTCATTGTGTAAAATTGTTTCTTTTTTGACAATTCAAGTGACTGTTTGATTTACTATGTTCTTGAAAACAAAAATTGTAAGGAAAACGTTCCAATGACTGTGCTGTAGTTGGAGATTTTATTACCGACATATTTACACCTTCCTTTTCCCTCTGATTTTTGGGAGCTGTTCGACTCCTCCTCCTTTCCTAATAACTTGCAGTCTTTCCTATGTCACAACAAAGCTACATTTTCTTCTGAAAACTGGCAGGTTCTCCCTTCCTAACACAATCAGCCGAAGAGAGGGTGGTAGGAGGGAGAAGAGCAGCCAGGGCAGATCAGCCTGCATGGGGGCATCCCTGGTCCGAGTCAGTGGCCAGAGCTGCAGCTGGGCTTTGTGTCAAAGTCTTGCCTGGGTGTCAAGAAGGCCATGCCCTCACATTTTATCTCTTTCTGTGACTGGCCTGCTGCTGGTTGACCCCATTCCTCCTTTTTTTGGGCATAAAGGTGACATCTAGGATTCAGGACAGCCATTCCTTTATTCCTTGAACATGAAGGGATCCTTGCCAGGCTTGGATTGCAAGACCCAGGCTGTGGTATAGCAATGTGCATTTTGTACCAAGCTGTCTATGTGACTGGAGAGTTGCAAATGCAAAGAAATACTATAATCAGTGGAGAGAAAATGTGCACAGCTATTTTAGTGCATGGTTCTGTGACAAATCACAAGGTGGGAGTGGACCTCTTTGATGTCCTCTCCCAGTGGCCTCCATACTTCCCCTGCCCTCAATGGGTCAGGAATCTCCTTCCTGGCCTCATCTTTGACTCTGAAGCCTCTGAGTTCTGAATAGTTCTGCCCCCTCTTTTTTCAGATGCCTCTGTGGCAAACCTTTGTGGCAAGTTATTTGACTTTCTTCACATGGAAACACCAAGAACACCAGAGAGTGCCCGGGTTTCAGACTTAGTCCGGTGTCTTCACATTAAAGAGAAACATCGTTGTGTTCCCCTGGGGGAAGCTTCACTCTGCCTGGGTCCTAAGACCTTTTAACCAGGAAAGCTCCATTTCTCCAGGACAGGCATAGAAAACTTTGTGACTGAGAGATGAGATGCAATACTGAACATTGTCCACTTTCACACCTTGACTCTCAGACCTGTACCTTCTGGCCGTGAGGGAGTCAGCACCATCTACTGGTTTCCAGTAGAAAGGATAAAATTCAGTGTAACTGAGTGATCGTAAGCCCAGTGGCTTCCAGGCAGTGGGTGAGGTAGTGAGAACAGGTAGTTCCTTGGTCTGGGGTTACTGCTGCATGTCCCTTGCTGTGAATGAAGTGACCTGATCAAAAGCAATGCGATGTGGGCTGCTGTCGTGATGACAGGAAGGACAGGCAAGGCAAGTCTATATCCAGGTAGGAGATCCCTGCGGTGAAGGCCGATCTCAGCTCCCTCCAGTGTGGCATCCTACCCACAGGCAGCCAGCCGGTCGTCCTGGGAAACAGTGCCCTCCCAGGGATTGACAGCAAGTCGCTCATCAGCAGATGGGGCGCTTGGCAGTGGTGGTGGCTTGGTCAGCCTTGGTCAGGCCATGTGTAGCATGCTGAGCCTCTCATGTCCCATGCCTGTCTGATGGCCACTTTGTCCCCAACCTAATGTGGCGGCCAGGGAAAGGAGCTGACTCCATCCACTTGATGTGCCAATTTGCCCACCTCAAAAGCATCCTCTGTAGGGAATCTCTTTGGTGGAAACAATGGAAATGTGGATGAAACTACCTTCCCAGTCTGAGCTGCTGAGGCACCCCAACCCTCTGGGAAGCCTGGCTGGAAGGCGCTTGGCAGTGGTACCCCCTGTGGCTGCGGCGGTGGCTAGGCTTCAGGACAAGACTTTCAGGAGGAGAATGTTGTAGCAGGCAGGGCCTCGAAGCTTCCAGGTGGCATGTTGGCATAGCAGACCAGGGTGCTCGGTCGGCTGCGGGGCCAGGCTGCAGGGTGCTGACTGCCCGCACTGCAGCGATCACGTCAGGAAGAGGCAGCAGTGTTCACGGCTGTTGACCCCTGTACCAGCCACCCATAGAATCACTGCACAGGCTCAGCGCCTCTGGGCCGGCTTGCACAGGTTCTCTGATATGAATCCTCACAGCACCCAGGGCTCACAGTGCCCTGGTCCCCTGCATGGTCACCTGGGGGCCTGCAGTGCCCCTCTCCTTCTAGGACTCTGGCTGGAGCCAGGTCCCTCTGGGCTTGGACTTGGGCACTGGGCGAGGGGTTCTGATCCACAGGTGGAGTTAGAGGTCCCAGGGCATGCTGCTGGCTGGCTGGGGCTGCCAGAACCCCATGCTCAGCCTTCCCTCCAGAGGCCTTGATGGGGCCAAGTTCCCCATCGAGTCATTTTTCCCAAGGCCCAGAAGCCAAAAACATAAAATAGAAATAAAAGAGCTGTAGAAAACAAGGTCCAGCAGCCATCTGGGTCTTCGAGGCCGCTGGGCAGAGGCCCCTGGGCTCCTTCCATGCTGTGTTGTTTTTCTACCGAGGGGAGTCACATGCAGGGAAACTTTGTTGCTGGGGTTTCTCTTGAGGTGCCTCCTCTCTGTCATAAGCCCAGGCAGGATTAGTGTCAGGGTCCCACTGGGCTAGCTCGGTGGGGTCCGTCTTGTAGTTGCAGGGCTGTTCATGGGAGATGTAGAACTGACAGAGTCCCAGGATCTCTGTTCAAAATGGCAGGGCAGGAAACTCGGGTCCCTGATGAGAGGGTCTATGTGGAGGGGTGGCACGGAGCTCCTGGATGAGCATTTCCATGGAATGCAAAGCCTGACCTCGCCAGGGGACAGGCGGCCCTCACCTTGAGCCTCTGGGACCCTCACAGAGCAGCATGTGGGCTTGGGTCCTGGAGAAACCACCTCAGAGTCCCTGGAGCGTGTTTGAAATGGCAATTCAGAAAATGGGGGTCCCCAACAGTCACCACTGTGGAGCGGTGACACAGAGCTCCCGGACGAGCAACAGGATGAGTATTTGTGTGAAACGCAAAGCCTGCCAGGGGACAGGCAGCCCTCATCTTGAGCCTCTGGGCCCCCCCACAGGACAGTGTGTGGCCTTGGATGAGTATTTGTGTGAAACCCAAAGCCTGACCTCGCCAGGGGACAGTCGGCCCTCATCTTGAGCCTCTGGGCCGCCCACAGGACAGCGTGTGGCCTTGGATGAGGATTTGTGTGAAACCCAAAGCGTGACCTCGCCAGGGGACAGGCGGCCCTCATCTTGAGATTCTGGGACCCCCACCGGGCAGCGTGTGGCCTTGGATAAGGACTTGTGTGAAACCCAAAGCCTGACTTCGCCAGGGGACAGTCGGCCCTCATCTTGAGCCTCTGGGATTTCCACCGGGCAGCGTGTGGCCTTGGATGAGGATTTGTTGGAAACCCAAAGCCTGACCTCGCCAGGGGACAGTCGGCCCTCATCTTGAGCCTCTGGGATTTCCACCGGGCAGCGTGTGGCCTTGGATGAGGATTTGTTGGAAACCCAAAGCCTGACCTCGCCAGGGGACAGGCGGCCCTCATCTTGAGCCTCTGGGCCGCCCACAAGACAGCGTGTGGCCTTGGATGAGGATTTGTGTGAATCCCAAAGCCTGACCTCGCCAGGGGACAGGCAGCCCTCATCTTCAGCCTCTGGGACCCCCACAGGGCAGCGTGTGGTCTTGGATGAGGATTTCTGTGAATCCCAAAGCCTGACCTCGCCAGGGGACAGGCGGCCCTCATCTTCAGCCTCTGGGACCCCCACAGGGCAGCGTGTGGTCTTGGGTCTTGGAGAAGCCACCGCAGAGTCCCTGGAGCCATGTTTGTAATGGCAGGGCAGGGAACGGAGGACCCTGATGGGCGGGTCTGCATGGAGTGGTGGCAGAGAGCTCCCGGATGAGCTACTGGATGAGGATGTGTCTGAATCCCAAAGCCTGACCTCGCCAGGGGACAGGCAGCCCTCATCTTCAGCCTCTGGGATCCCCACAGGGCAGCGTGTGGCCTTGGATGAGGATTTGTGTGAATCCCAAAGCCTGACCTCGCCAGGGGACAGGCGGCCCTCATCTTCAGCCTCTGGGACCCCCACAGGGCAGCGTGTGGTCTTGGGTCCTGGAGAAGCCACTGCAGATTCTCTGGAGCCATGTTTGTAATGGCAGGGCAGGGAACGGAGGACCCTGATGGGCGGGTCTGCATGGAGTGGTGGCAGAGAGCTCCCGGATGAGCTACTGGATGAGGATGTGTCTGAATCCCAAAGCCTGACCTTGCCAGGGGACAGGCAGCCCTCATCTTCAGCCTCTGGGATCCCCACAGGGCAGTGTGTGGCCTTGGATGAGGATTTGTGTGAATCCCAAAGCCTGACCTCGCAAGGGGACAGGCGGCCCTCATCTTCAGCCTCTGGGACCCCCACAGGGCAGCGTGTGGTCTTGGGTCCTGGAGAAGCCACAGCAGATTCCCTGGAGCCATGTTTGTAATGGCAGGGCAGGGAACGGAGGACCCTGATGGGCGGGTCTGCATGGAGTGGTGGCAGAGAGCTCCCGGATGAGCTACTGGATGAGGATGTGTCTGAATCCCAAAGTCTGACCTCGCCAGGGGACAGGCGGCCCTCATCTTCAGCCTCTGGGACCCCCACAGGGCAGCGTGTGGTCTTGGATGAGGATTTGTATGAATCCCAAAGCCTGACCTCGCCAGGGGACAGGCGGCCCTCATCTTCAGCCTCTGGGACCCCCACAGGGCAGCGTGTGGTCTTGGATGAGGATTTGTATGAATCCCAAAGCCTGACCTCGCCAGGGGACAGGCGGCCCTCATCTTCAGCCTCTGGGACCCCCACAGGGCAGTGTGTGGTCTTGGATGAGGATTTGTATGAATCCCAAAGCCTGACCTCACCAGGGGACAGGCGGCCCTCTTCTTCAGCCTCTGGGACCCACACAGGGCAGCGTGTGGTCTTGGGTCCTGGAGAAGCCACCGCAGAGTCCCTGGAGCCATGTTTGTAATGGCAGGGCAGAAAACGGAGGACCCTGATGGGCGGGTCTGCATGGAGTGGTGGCAGAGAGCTCCCGGATGAGCTACTGGATGAGGATGTGTCTGAATCCCAAAGCCTGACCTCGCCAGGGGACAGGCGGCCCTCATCTTCAGCCTCTGGGACCCCCACAGGGCAGCGTGTGGCCTTGGATGAGGATTTGTGTGAATCCCAAAGCCTGACCTCGCCAGGGGACAGGCGGCCCACTTCTTCAGCCTCTGGGACCCCCACAGGGCAGCGTGTGGTCTTGGGTCTTGGAGAAGCCACCGCAGAGTCCCTGGAGCCATGTTTGTAATGGCAGGGCAGGGAACGGAGGACCCTGATGGGCGGGTCTGCATGGAGTGGTGGCAGAGAGCTCCCAGATGAGCTACTGGATGAGGATGTGTCTGAATCCCAAAGCCTGACCTCGCCAGGGGACAGGCGGTTCTCATCTTCAGCCTCTAGGATTCCCACAGGGCAGCGTGTGTTCTTGGGTCCTGGAGAAGCCACCTCAGAGTCTCTGGAGCCGTGTTTGAAATGGCAGCGCAGGAAATGGGGGCCCCCAACTGTCATATCTCTGTGGTGCGGTGACACAGGGCTCCTGGATGTGCATTTCCATGGAATGTAAAGTCTGCCCTTTCTGGGGGACAGGTGGCCCTCATCTTGATCCTTTGCGACCTCCAGAGGGTGGCCTCTGGCCCTGGGTCCTGAAGAATTTTCCACAGAGTCCCTGGAACCCTGTTTGAAATGAAAGCACACAAAACTGGGGTGCCCGACGATCGCGTCTGCGTGGAGCGGTGGCACAGAGCTCCTGGACATGCGTTTCCATGGAATGCAAAGCCTTACCTTGCCGGAGGGCAGATGGTTCTTCTCTTCAGTCTCTGAGCTGGCTCTGTGTTCTTGGGGAGCCCCCTCATCCTGAGGGGCCTCAATCTGGGCCTTAGGGACAGCCCTGTCAGGTGAGGCTGCGGGAGGACAAGGCCTTTGTCGCAGGGGGTCTGATGGCATGAGCTTTTGGAGCTGAGCTGGTGGGGTGGGGAGGGTCTGTCTGTCCTCCTCACAGCGGGGCCCAATGCCAGAGGACACACCCGAGGACTCTTCCTTGAGCTTGGCTGGAAAAAGAAACAGAAGTAGTCGGCATCTTCACCGGGCCCATCTGTTCTCTTCAGGGCTACACCCCACAAGCCTGGGTCTCTGGAATCCTCAGTGTCCATGTGTGGCCTCCTGGTCTGACACTGAGGACACCCCTGCAGGCAGCTGATTTCAGGGTGAGGGCTGTGTACAGTCTGTGGTGGGGGACCTTTCTAGGAACCTCAGGTCACTCCTGGAATGGCCCCCAGGTTTCTGGGTGGCTCAGGGCTTCCTGCCTCACACCCTCACCTCAGGGCTGCTCGGCAGCCGCGATTTAGAACACAGGTGGAAGGGACCTGCACTGTCACAGAGCCTTCTTGCCACGTCACATGGGGGCCTGTCTCCACAGAGCATGAGAAGGCCCCAGGCACGGGTTCCCCTCTGCCCTCCAGGCCCTCCACGCCATGCTGGGGCTGGACTGATCCCACGCCCGGCTGAACTCTTGGTTCTGGCTCTGGGTCAGGGCTTCCCCCGAATGCCGTCTGCCCAAATCCTGATTCTCTCGTCCCCCTGTCTTGTTATCTTGACATCCTTGGAGGGGCACTCAAGAATGGGGGGTCCCTGCTGCTTGGAGGTAGGGGTGGGGGCTTCCACAGTGGGGTCTGACTGCCCCGGTTTCCCTCAGGGCCCTTTAAGTGGGAGAGGGGAGCAACGTGGAAAGTGTGGGAGGGGTGTTGGGGGGTCCTGCCCACAGCCCCTGCCTGCCCGCACAGCATGTCCAGCACATGTGCGCTCAGCACCTGCCCTGAGGACCAGCAGACCCGTTTGAGGTGCAGGAGGAAGGCCAGGTAGTAGGACTGGTGGGGCCAGGGCACTCCCCACCATTGACTGCCCAGAGGGTGACTCAAGAGGGGATCTGGTGCTGGAGCCCACCTGGGGGTGGCAGGTCCCAGTGTGTTCTTGTGAGTTTCTTCATGGATGCTAGAAGGTTCCTGAGGACGGCATTGTCCTCCAGGGCCCAGCTCTGATCGAGCTGCTCCTGAAACTCCGGGATGGTGTTCCAGGAAAGCTTCATGAGGAGCTCTAGGGACAGGGGGGCATCAGGCCACGAGGGTTCCCTGGGAAGGGTCAGTGCCCACACCCTGTTTCTACCAGGCCCACCTCCCACTGGGTAGTGCCGGGTCCTTTTGGGCCACCCGAGGTCGAGCTGTGCACAGGAGGCCAGGGAAGGCCGTGCAGGGAAGTGCTCATCACACTCCTGACTTTCCTCTGGGTCACGTTGGGGCCCAGTGTCATCATGCCTTGCCTAGCCCCAGGCCAGACCCCCAACCCGATGGGGCAGGCAGTGTAAGGACAGTTCCCTCAGGCCAGCCGGGGTCTGTCCCGCGTGTTCCTTCACACACCCTTGGGCACACGTGACTTACTCCTGTGTATTTTGAATGATGCATGCACCATGGCCGTCAGTACCCGCTGGCCCTCCAGGATGAGCACATCCCACAGTCGCAGGGTGAGCCCTAAGGATTTCTGTGGGGACAGCAGGTTTGAGAGGACTTGGCCTTTCCAGGCTGGGGTTGGTGGCCTGAGCACGGCCCATTAGGGTTTCAGTCCCCTGGAGTGGGGGGGACCCCTCTCCGTGGGATGAGACCCCCCCCATGAGGTTGGGTCAGACAGAGTCCTACAGCTCCTCATGGGGGACTCTTCAGGGCTGTGGCTTCTGGAATGAGGGGTTTCTGAGGACTTGGGACTTCCTTCCCAAGTTGGGTCCTGACCCAGTCTGCTCATGAGGCTGGGCCTGAGCCCTGGTCTCTGTTGTGAGATGCCCCCTCTCAGGCAGGGCCTGGTTTGTGTGCCCTGCAGGGACCTGCCTTTGCCTTCTGCAGGCTGGGGGTGAGCCAGGTCCTCCTGGGAAAGCCAGACCCCTGGGCTGAGGGAGCCGGACACTGCAGGGCAGGAGGGTCCCTTGGCTGGGTTCTCCCTGTGCCTCCTTACCCCGTCAACAAAACACCCGAAGAGCCTCATCAGCATGGAATCCTCAATGCACAGCCTTTCCTTGCCCTGAAGAAAGGAGCAGAGGTGCTCAGGGCCCCCTGGGTTTCCCTGAAATCCTCCCACTTCCAGGCCCTTCTGGAGACTTTTCCCCAAGGGACAGAACCCAGGGCGGTGGCCAGGGCTCCAACACCTGCCCCATGTATGGACGCCCAGTGGACACACTTCCCTCAGCCCTGCTCAGCTTCAGCTTGGCCCTGGTCCCAGCGCCTCTGCCTCCACCAGGGCAGAAAAAGGAAACCCAACTCTGAACCCATGGAGAATGCCCATCCCAGGTCAGGCCGCGGCTGGGACTTGGCCTCTTGCCAGCCCCATGAGGCGCTCGAGCCTCCCCTGGCCCATGGGACCCAGGGCCTCTGGGGAGGAGCCGAGGGCATCATTCACTCACCAGGTGTCTCATGGTCTTGGGGAAGTACTTGTGCAACATCTGCTTTTGGCACGTTAGGAGCTCCTGCAGCAGGGCTTTATTTGGGCTGTAGAATGCTGAGAAGGCCCCAACCCATTACCCTGTCAGAGCCCATTCCCAAGAAGTGGAGGCTTGAGCTCGAAACGTGGGGCAGGGAGGGGGACCCTGGACCCTGAGGCCTCCCTCCCTCCCATCATGGTGACCCCTCAGACCTGGATAGGTGTGGTCTAGTTGGAGGTGCTGCCCAGTGGCATCCTCGATCCAGGTGCCAGGAGGGCAGGCCTGCGTTTGACACCAAGAGGCAGGTGCCAGCAGGGAGAACAGGGTGGGAGCTCGGGGCTATGTGAGCATCTCTTGGATGTGAGGTCAGGCTGGGGGACACGTGATGGGCAGACACAGCCATCTTGGCCTTGTTGGCCCATCCATGGGGAGGGAAGGTGGCTGGGAGCACAGCCAGCTAAGAGGCAGGAGGACACTCAGGAAGTTGAGCGGCACCTGCACAAAGTCAAGGCTGGCTTCGGTGAAAGAGGGCGACCAGGAAGAGGTATCGATGCCCTCTGCTGTTGGGGATGAAAGGCGTCTGACCTGACATGAGGGGGTCCCTGCCCAGACCCAGGCTGCTGAGGGACCTCAGCAGGGACATCCTGGAGTCTCCAAATGAGCTGGGATACAAGGAAATTACCTTGCCTGGAAGTCAAGATCACCAGCCAGAGTGGCCGTCCCCTGGCATGGCTGTGTAAGGCACTGGGGACAGATGTCCACCTACCTTGCAGGAAGTGCCTTTTACTGTCCAGTAGTTGGGTCAGAGCCCAGAACGCATCTTCCTCTGGCAGATAGAGGAGGAGGATTGCGGTGATGTGGCTCAGGTCCCTGTGGTAGCACATCTCCTGCAAGAGCCAGAGTCACTGTAGAAGGATGTCACCCGGGAGGGTTTGCATCACCAAAGATGGCAGAGGTCCTCAGGGACATCTGCCTCAGGCCACAGGGGATTTGAGGTGTAGCCTCTGCACTCCTCCCCTGACCCATGAGGACAGAGCAGGTCAAACACAACTCAGTGGACAAGGAGCCTGGGGGGACCCCTGCTGTGAGCATTCAAGCTCACATGGCCCAAAAGGGCACAGGCAGGGACTGTTCATGCCCCTCCCCTGGGACAGGCGTGGGGCAGGACCTATGAACTGCACGCACCATGAGGGCAGACGGCGGGGCGCTGACCCCCACACAAAGGTCCCGCAACAACAGCCCAGGGGCTGCCTGCCGGGCACAGGAGGGTGGATGGGTCCAGACCCCATGTGGGCAGCCCGTGGAGTCAGCTCAGCGGCTCTCCCTGCCTGGAATGGTCTGGAAAGTGGGGGCCGAGCAGGAGCAGCCACCTGGGTGACCCCCTCCCCTATCTGCTGTGCTCCTATGGGGTTTGGGCAAAGGGGAAATTGTATCCGTTCCAGGTTTCCAGTGAACAAGAGGCTTCCTCAGGATGCAGACTCATTTCATGACAAGAGCCTGGCCCATCAGGCACCTCGGCAACTTGTCAAACCTGTCTCCTGTGAGGGCCATCCTGTGTGGGACCCAGCCAAGCTCCCAAGCTTTGGGGCAACACCAGGAGGGGAAGGTCATTTCTTCATCTGAGACATCTGGGCCTCAACCCTTTTCTGCCAGCAGTGAGCTTGAGTCCCGCCTACTACGTTCTGGTGGGTGACGAACACTGAAATTTCAAGAAGTGGGGACACCCCCGAGAGAAACCCATGCCTGTGAATATGGGAATATGGCCCAGGAATATCGCTGCCCGGGAATACTCACAGGGTTATATGCAGAGTAGGCCACGAGAATGTCACATAATTCCTGCTGACTGGAAAAGAGGGAAAAGAGAGTTTTGCTTGTTTTGTTCGGCTTCTGTCAGTTTCATTTTGTCTACAAACCCGGACCACAAACACAATTCTGGGTTTGGATGATCCCCCAAATAAGCAGGGAGCTCTTCAGGACACCTGAGTTTTTAGGAATTGTTTCGATAAAATTCACATTCCTCGCAATGCAAATATCACAGGTGTGATCAGTGATCATTTTCACTCTGGTTGATCTTTTTCTTCCCCCCTTTCTGGGTTTGCACACATGGAAGTCCAGTCTTTGGGATGTACAGTTCCGTGGCTCTGAACTAATGTGCAGGGCCTCTCGTCCACCACTCAGCCCCACCTGGAGCAGCTCCTTCATCCTCCAAGTCCCCAGCATGTCCCTTTGCAGCCGACCTCTCCGGGCTCCATCAGCCCCTGGCCATCCTGACCTGCTCTCTGTCTCTATGATTTGCCTTTTTCCTGGTCTGTGAATTGGATTTCTGCAGTGGTAGCCTGTTGGGTCTGGCTTCATTCCCTCAGCAAGATGCATCTACAATCCACCCATGTTCCTGTGGGCATCAGGGGTTCATTCCTTTTCCTCACTGAGTTGTCTGTCTGAAGAGCAGAATCCCCTTCCTCCCCAGTTCCTGTGTTGAAGATCATCTCGGTAGCCTCCAGGTGTGAGTGACAATCAATCAAGCAATGAACGTGGCATGCGGGTTTTACTTGCACGTCAGTTTCAAATCAGCGTGGTCAATATCTGTGACACTTCGGGGTTGTGTGGTACGAAGCTACTGAGCTTTGTAAGCTGTGGCCTATCTGACTTCTAAAGTGGCTGTGCCCTGTCCCATTCCCACAAGTCTTAGATGGGATTCCCACCAGTTTCTGGGGCCCAGCATCTTCCCTGGTACTTTGGGCTGTTAGTGTTGCCCAGGAAGGCTCCTGAACCATGGCATCCTGCTACCTTCCCATGGGTCCCTACCCTGGGCACTTGAGGGTCATGGAGAGCACTTTTCACTGTTCTGCATACATACATACATATATATGTATGTATATATATATATATATATATTTTGCTTTTTCCTTTTGCTGCCTTTCATCTCCTTGGGAACCACCTGGATTCTAGCCCCACGCCTCCCAGCCTGGACCAGGGCTTAGAGCCCCAGAGGTGCTCAGTCCATGGTGCTGGCTGCTCCCTGGGGCTGGAGAGCCCTTGGTGGCTCTGTCACCCCTCCTGGGTGACCCTGGCCTCTGCCCTGGGGAAGCCCTCATTCCTCTGGATCGCTCCATCTTCCCTGGCACCCCTGCAGCCCCCATAGGTCTTACTTGACCCGAAGTCCTTCTGTGAACATCTTGTCCCAGAGATTGTACTTGACATCTAGCTTGATGCGGCGGATGATCCTGGGGGAACTCTTGCTCTTCTCCTTCATGACCTGTAGGGAAGGACCAAGAGGAGGAAGCAGCCTCAGAACAGACAAAAGACTGCCTGCCCCAAACAGCAGCCATCCCACAGTCAGCACTTCTGGAAGGAAAGGAGGAAGGTTTCCTTCTGCAGAAAGCTCTTTTTGCCTTGTTTCTGAAGCCAGGGAGGGTCAGCAGAGCCCAGCACACCTGTGGTGCGTGAGTGTCCGTCCTGGATGTGCGTCTGACCTGAACCCCCACCCCCAACCCGGGCTCCACGTTCCCTCCAGCTTGGGTCCCGGGCGCCTGCCACGGTCTGGCCTCTTTGTCCTGCCCGGGCTGAGTCTGGGAGGGCCTTACCCTGTATTTCCCAGGGTTTTCAGTCTTGATTTGGTCAACATCAAGCAGGAGTGCCCATGCCTGACCTCGTACTGCTTGGGGAATTCCTTTGTATACTATGTGGGAGAGCTACAGACAGAAGAAACTTCCAGTGAGACAGGACACGGGGCGGCTCCAGCGAGGAAAGCTGGCGAACAGGCCCGCTGTCCTGTAGTGAGGATGGGTTGCCACCCACCCACTGAGAGGCAGGTGGTGCCAGGTCACAGCCATGGGTGCCTGTCTCCTGGCTCTGCAGCAATCAGTCATGGGGCCACTCCCTCCCCATGGTACCTTCTTGGTGTTTTTATATTTCGGCCAGCTTTTAAACACCTTGACCCAGTTCTTGATGCATATTGTATCCTGACTTCTTTGCTGTAAAATGAGGCATGATGGAGTTAGCTGAGCTGTCAGGGGCCTGGCAGCGGCCTGTGGATGCTGGGTCCTGGGCTTTGGGGCCCTGAAGGGACCCAATGGGAAGGAGCCAGGAAAGGGCAGACCCCAGGGGCGGAGACCCTCTGAACTAACTGCAGCTAGAAGTGTGGACTGGTGACGCCAGGACACACCATCTTCAGGACACAGACGCCCTGAGTTTTGGTCAGCCCCAGGCTTCAGCTCGGGACTTGTGCAAACAGGTGGTTGACTCTGAGCCAGGACTGCAGTTTGCATTTTGGTGAAACCCTCATGGGAACAGAGTTCAGCAGGAATGGCTGCCCCTCCTCCCATTGATAGCCGTGGCCCACTCACCACCACCTGGGCCTGTGGGCCATCCCCGCTGCCTCACTGACCACCTGATTCCCTGTCCTTGGACCAGTGTCCCACACAGCAGTCCCAGGCTCTTACCTTCACCTCCGGAATACGCACAGGGAGCAGCTCTGTCTCACTGTAAGGCAACGCAGGCAGAGCTGAGATCCTGCCCAGGCCAGGAGCCATCCCCCTCCCAGAGAGGGCCCCAGGGAAGGACCAGCCCATCCCTATCCACCCTAAGTCTCAGTCTGGAAGAAGGTACACGGAAGGAAGGCAAGAGCCTCCCTGCGGAGCTGATGCCCACGAGCCGCCAGGACCCTAGAGAAGAGGGAGCTTGATGCTGGCCTGGCAGGGGCCACCTGGGGCCAGTGGGGTGCCTCCGGCTACACAATGGGGCTGCCCCTCCTGGGCTGGAGGCAACACCCTCTGTGGGAGCTGAGCAAGTCCAGTCCTGAGACAGGATGGCTGCCGCCCAGGGTGGGTGGCTGAGCCCTGACGGACAGCAGTGCCTTGTGAGTGACCACATCACCCGCCAGAGTCCAGGGAGCCTGGCCTGAGAGCTTCCCAGGGCCCTGAGGATGCACCTGGAGCCCGTCTCACAAGACACTCCCCACAGGCCTTGCAGGGTCTGATCTCCCAGCATGCACCTGCCTCTGCCTGCACCCTGGCCGCTGACCCTGCCTCTTCCCCATCTTCCCCCATCCTGCCCTGCCCAGAGACTATGACCCTCACTCAAGCCACAGTGGCCTTTCTGTGACCCTTGTCCTGTCGGAACCTCTGAGTGAGACCTCCCTGATATGTCCACACCCAGGCCTCGGCCACTCTCTTACTGGACTGCCAGTGAGACATTCAGGGCAATAGGGTGAGCATGGGCCCTGCAGTTAGTGGGTATGCCCCACCACCCTGCCTCCAGCCTCAGCTGGCTCTCAGGGTCTGACGTTCAGTCCTCAGCCTCCTCCCAGCCACTGCAAAAACAAGGACATGGGGTGCCTGGCTGTCCTCCCCCTATGGTCCTGCCTGCCCTGACTTTGCCCCCCCATCCACCCTCTGCAGTGCTGAGTGAGCCAGCGGGAAGCAGGGTCTCTGGAGGGCCATGCAGAGCCTTGGGGACTGACTGAGTCCCCCACCTGAGGGGTCCCAGGTGAGCTGCTGTTCTGTGCCAACCCCATCTGTTGTCCTCCCCGGACTATCAGCTCCACACTGGGCCGGCTTGGTTCAGGTGCTTCCCAGAAGTGGCAGGTCTCACAGGCTCACTCTGCTCCCTTCCCCCAGGCTCCTCCCTCTCTTGATCCTGTGAGTCCTGAGGGGCCGGCTCCAGGCTGGTCTCTGCTTCCCAGGCCCAGAGCCCTTCCCAGCACCACTCTGGGGCCTTCAGCTGCATGCTTTGTTGTCCCCCAAGCCTCAGTGAGAAACCCAGGCCAGAGCCCTGCTCTTCTTCTTCACAACCTTCCATGGCCAGGGCCAAGACCCTCAGTGTACCCATGCCCCTTTTGATGGCTTAGCCCCCTGAGCTCTCAGAGATCTGCTGTACAACTACGCACAGGGCAGGCCAGGTGCCCCTTTCCCCATGGCCACAACCCTCAGATCTCACCTGAGCAGGCCTCAAGGGAACAGGCCCAGACCCTCAGGCTGCCCTGTCCTCTCCTGCTTGCTTGGAGACCACAGTGCTGAGAGCCCAAGGACCTGTCCTAGTCCCCTCTCTGTCCCCACCCACTGTCCTGAGCTCCCTAGATGTGCCACGAGGCTGTGCCAACAACCCTGACCATGGGCTGGACCTGCAGGAGAGCCTGGGAGGAGTTCTGACCCTGGAGAGGAAGTTGGTCCGAGCCGGGGAGACATGTCCTGCTTCAGAGGGGCTTTTCTAAAAACAAAACCCATCGCTGAGGTTGGGGTCGGTGGCAAGGGGTGGGGTGAGGTGGGCAAAGGACTCACTGCATAATCTCAAGGTGCTTGGTGTCTTTTTCATTATCAACAGCCCCATGCCCCACGCCCACTGCTGTGCCAGCTCGGTGTACCTGAAATCCAGAGGTGGCCAGGGTAGGGGGGCAAGGTGAGGGTTATTCAGCCCAGTGATATGAGCAGTCCCTCCCTGCCTTGTGACCTTAGGAAGCCCAGGACCCTCTGACCAGGGCAGAGAAGGAGAGGTGAGCCCCTGCCTCCCTTGAGGGAGCGGCCCGACCTGTACCTGGCAGATGATGTTTCCTTGTCCCTGGCCGGGCAGCATATCCAGGGCCTCATCCACCTCCATCCTGCAAGACAAAGTCATCCAAGGTTCTGCTGCAGCCGAGAGCTCCAGAGAACACCCCAACCTTTCCCACTAGACTCCCAGACGCATTCCACTACCCCTTCCAGATGACAGGGGCCAGAAAGAGTGGCCCCACCCCTGACTCAATCTCTGGAGTTCTTGCCTCCAACCAGTGGTGGGCTCCTTCCTGCGGACTTGAGCACACGGGGACCTGAACAGAGAGGCCCATTGTCCCCAAGCACCCCAAGGCAGACACGCACCGGCCCCAGCAGGACAAACGGCGTCTACTTACTGAGGGTGAAACGCCTATGATGGGCTGTTCTGGGCACCCGGAGACAGGAGGGGCCAGGAATCCTCCGGGGATTTTTCAGGGACCAGGAATATACTCAGTTTTCTGTAGGAAGCAAGACATCTGGTGACTGCTCTGTTCTACTCCAATGGTCACTCACTCTGGCCAGTGAAGCTGCTTCAGGAACACCACCAGCCAAGCACTTTGGTCTGGGGAAATGATGATCTATTGACTCCACAGCAGCCTCTGTGCTCGTGAAGACCCTGTCTCAGATGAAGGGATGGCAGACTCCACAATTCCTAGCTGTCATGACAAGAGGGACAGACAGAGAGAATGGGACACGGTGGGAGGGTTCCAGTCCCTAAGCCCCTTTGACCAGAAGGTACGATTGTCACCCTCCAGACAGCCCTCCAGGGAGCCTTCATTTTCCACAACTGCCTGAGGGCAGAGCACGCCCCACCCCACTCCTAGACGAAGGACCCCGTGTGTCCAGTGGGTCCCACAGCAACCATCAGTGACCACACCTGAAGTCTGAGTTGGTGAGACCTCCTCCTGTGGAAACCCAGCTTAGGGCACAGACTTGGAGCAAGAATCACACCCTCCACCCCACCCACACTCTGTCACAGTGACTCTTCCAGGACCAGACTCTGCCTCACTGGAGTGCAGAACTCCAGGAAGATTTGGAATCTAGGGCAGGGGGGCCACAGAGGTCAGAGCTCAAGTCCAGCATGGCAAAGGGTAGGGCTGAGAGTATGGCCCAGGTCACACCTGGGTCTCTGGGCTAGTCACCACCTCTCTGACTCTCACATCTCACCTGTGGAATGGGTACATCTGGGGACAGCACCCACACCACAGAGTCGCTATGAGGACAAGGGAGAGGATGGTCCACCCAGTCAGTGCAGAATGTGCACCCGGTGAGTGCTCAGGGATGGCTCTCCTTGGCATCTGCCCAGAGGTCACTCACCTGAGTCTACTGAGGCAGTTGTCTCTCTCACTTAGAAAAGTCGTTTATGCACAGAACCAGACACCTGTGTGTGTTTTGTGTCCAAGTGCCGCACAACACACAGCTGGGAGGGTGGGCAGGTGGGAGGTCCCTCGGCACCAGTGACATTGTGAGGTCATGACACTCATCACAATGGTTCCATTGCTCAGGCCCAGAGGGCTCAGAGTCAGTGGCCTCCAGCCCCCAAGGTGCCAAAATGTGTTTGTGTGATGTGTTTGTGCAGATGAGCCTGCAGTTCCTGTGGGTGAACATGCGTGTGCGTGAGTAGCTTCTCTGGCCAGGCCTAGCTGTCCCACTGACATGGGCACCCAAGTTCTCATCAATTCCTCATCAGTGTCACCTTCCCTTGGGGCCTGTGGCCAGCATCAGAGCATCCATGGCCTTCCCCAACCTCAGAGCTCCCCACCCGGGGCAGTCCTGAAGATGCAAATGGGGGTTAGTGTGTAGAGGGCACAGGGCAGGCCCCCTCATTAGGGGGAACTCAGCTAGACTGTAACATGCTAGGTGTGAGTGGCAGGGTCAGACTCCACACACCTTCTCACCTCCTCTTCCCGGTAGCCTTGCGGGCTGCCATGACTCATTTCTGCTATGGATGGAGGCAAGGATGTTCTAAGGACACACCCTGTGCCTGAGGTCACCCAGCAAGTATCTGGCCAGACCCCTGCTGGCCTGGCTTTCACTGTTTTCCCGGTGACCAGGCCTTCTGACTAGGTCCTTGCTGATCAGGCCCCTGATGACCAGGCTCCAACTGACCATGTCTCCACTGACCGGGTTTTCACTGACTAAGCCCCAATGGCCAAGCCTCTGCTGACCAGACCCCTGATGACCAATTCCCCACTGACCACGTCCAAGCGACCAGGCCTTCCTGACCAGGTCCCCACTGCCCAGGCCCAGAGCAGCGGTGCTCAACGTCCCCTTCCGCAATTGCCCACAGGCAGACCGCTGCCAACCCTGGGCCCAGACAAGGGACCCCATGTGTCCCACAATGACCATCGGTGACTGCACATGAAGTCTGAGTTGGTGAGACCTCCTCTTGCGGGGACCCAGCTTACGGCACAGACTTGGACCGAGCACCAGCCCCTCCACCCCACCCATAGGAGCTCTATCCCAGTGGCTCTTCCAGGGCCAGACTCTGCCCCATCGCGGGCTGAACCCAGACAGAAGACAGATTTGGGATCTAGGGTAGGGAGATCACAGAAGTCAGGGCTCGCACAGGGCAGGGCTGAGAGTCACATCTAGGTCCCTTGGCCAGTCACTGCCTCTCTGACCCTAGGCATCTCACTCACCTGTGATATGGGTACATTCGGGGACAGCACCCACCCCACAGAGTCTACCAGGTCGGTGTAGAACAGGCACCTGGTAAGTGCTCAGGGATGACCCTGCCCAGAGGCCAGGACTGCTTACCAGGTAGCGACTGTCCCCAGGTCAGCAGGGAGGGAACAGAGCCTGTCATACTCACCCAAGTCTACTGAGTCAGCTGTGTCACTTAGAAAACTGTTTCTGCAGACTCAGACACCTCTATGTCTTGTCTCCAAGAGCTCCAGACACAGAGATGGGAGGGGGGCAGGTGGGTGAGTGCTCAGCACCAGTGTCATTGTGATGTCATGACATCCATCACAAGGGGCCCCTGCCTAGGTCAGCAGGGCCCAGAGTCAGCACCCTCCATCCCCCGAAGTGTTCACATGCTTGTGTGCAGCGTTTGTGTATGTCAGCATGCATGTGTTATGTGGGTGAACAAGTGTGCATGGGTGTGTCACTGCTCTGGCTGGGCCTGGCTGCCCCACTCATATGAGCACCCAGGACACTGGGTCACCCTTGCCACTGTCTCCCACCTTGGGATCCATAGCCACCATCAGAGTATCCCCATCCAGGGCACTCCTGGAATTGCAGAAAAGGGGTAGGGGGCAGAAGGTTGAGGATTGGGGGCAAAGGGCAAAGGGCAAAGGGCAAAGGGCCGGCCCCTCCCTAGCAGCGGACTCCGCTAGGCTGTAAAGTGCTAGGTCTGTGAGTCAGGGCTGGATTCTACACACCTGCTCACCTCCTCCTCCCAGTAGCCCTCTGGAGAGCCACAACTCGTTCCCTCGACAGATGGCAGCAAGGAGGCTCCAAGGGCAAACCCCTACCTGAGGTTACCTAGTGACCACCTGGCAAGGCCTCTGCTAGCCAGACCCCTACTGACCAGGCCCCACTGACCAGGCCCCCACTGAGCAGAACCCTGAGCCTCGGTGCTCAGCGTCCCCTACCAATGACCCCACTCAGTCCCCAGACCCTCCCCTCCCCACATCAGCACCCACAGGCCATGCCCTGTGAGTTTTGTTGGGTCAGAGCCCTCCTCCAGGACACAGAAAGGGACAGTTGGCCTCAGGTTCTGGGTACCCAGCTTCATGCTCACCCCTGAAAGCCCTCTGGGCTCACCTCAAAGGGGGCAGTGAGGTGGCCTGGCACTGCCTGGACATGATGTCTGAGCCTATTCCTGAGCCACAGACCCAGAGGAAGTGGGAACGTTTGTCAGGCCAGACACCCCACTCTGCTGAGTCTCCCTAGGTCCTTCCTGCGGAGGCTGGATCCAGAGACACACCACAGAGGCCACAAGGTGACTGGCCCAGAACCTTTGAGACTGGGCCAGGGACCTCATGAGGACTTCCCGAGATGGCCAGAAGACCCTTTGCTAATTTCTTCGTATCTCATTTCTTACCAGCTACCTTTCCCCCACCAAGAATCCCTTTCTTGCAGAGTCAATGAGGAGAGGAAGATGTTCAGGGAATCCACTGAAGGAAACAAAATGACAGTAGAACATCATCTATTTCCCTTCTGTCTAAAAGGAAAGCCTAAGGAAGCCTATTGGGTTCCATCACTCCAAGGGCCCCCAGGATGGCGTCAGACAGTGCAATACCCAGCAGCAGGGGCTGTGCCTGATCCCTGCAGATGTCATCAAGGGTACACCTGGGGTCATCTAGTGTCATGGACCTTGACATAGAGCAGAAACTGAGTCAACAGGAGTGCGCACGCACATGCACACACGCACATACACACATACACGTGCACACACACACTGGAATAAAATGAATTTTGTAGCAAGTGTGCAAGTGTGTGTGCACTGCTGGGTTACTGGCGTGTGTTTAGCTCTATGAACATGGGTTTCACTTTATTTTTATGGGGTTCCAGCTCTCGCTCATAGAATCCCTGCCTGTTTTGTAATCTTCCCTTGTTTACTGCCCGTGGACTTCAAGTAGCAGACACAGAGAAAGCTTTGTAGAGACTGCTTAGTCAGTCCCCACAGTTTCCATAGCAGGTCCCTTAATTCCCATCACCTCCAGGGAGGTCACTGCTGGGATCATCCTAGGAATCGTGTGCCTTGTCTTGATGGCCACAGTGGTAACCATGATAGTCAACTATTCCCTCTGTGCAATTCTGAAACTAAAAATCTCTGGGAACAAAACTACAGGAAGCAATGAAAGCAACACCAAACTGAGAGTTTGATGGCCTGGGTTTCTGAGAAATTTAATATTTTTACATGAATAATGAAGAAAAAATGACTTTTCTGAAGTTCCTACCATTTATGCTATGGATTGGGTTCTTCTATGAAAGCAGTTTTATTGATAAATGTGGATAATTAACTTCAAGTAAAAGATTAGAGAGTCAGCAAATTGTAAACGTAACTGTGCTTTTTTAATACTCAAATGACATTAGTCAGACTGTTGTGGATCTCCAGAAATATATATTTGCACGCGTAAGTTCTATATTGAAATACCCAAGTTTGGAATCCTTCGGGCAACTTATTTTTCGTCAACCAGAAATAATACTAAAATTGCAAAGATTTGTTATGATTTACATTTTTTGTCCTAATGGCAAAATGAATTCAAATACGTTAAAGCGTAATATACACAGGAATCCTATTAGTCTACTACTCAGTGATTTATCTCAAAGGGAGCACATGCTTGGACCTACCACACAGTCCAAGAAAATGAACTAAAAATAACAATCTGGAAATCCCTCTCCTGAAGATCTGCTCCCTAACCACTGCCCATCTGTCTTGCCAAAGCAAACAATCACTTGGTTTTTAGCAGCCCCAATTAGTGCTGCCTGTTTCGTGAATGGATTCATGGAGGGCCATTCAGTAGGAATGCTTGTGTGTGTGGCTTCTTTGGCCCAGCATCACATTTGTGATGCTCCTTTATGTGGTTTCGTGAAGCAGTTCATTTCTTTTCCCTGCTCGGTGGTGCTCTGCATGAATATGGCACCTCTCAATTCTACTGCTGATGGACACTGGTTTGTTTGCAGTTTGGGGCTATTAGCAATAAAGGCACCATGAATATTCTTGTTAATTTCTTTTGGTACACATGTATAGATATTTTAGTTAAGTACAGACTTATGAATAAAATAGCTTGGTCATAGTAACTGCCTATGTTCAAATGCAATGTATGTCACCAAAAATTTCAGCTAGGAGGAAAAAGCTCAAGAGCTCTATTGTACATGTTGACTACAGTTAATAACAATGTGGTAATACTTGAAATCTCTAAGACAGCAGATTTTAAACGTTTTCACCGCACAAAAAAAGATAAGTAGCTAAGGTAACTGATAATGCTAGGTAGCTTGATTTAGCCATTCTACAATGTACGTCTGTAGCCATATATACACATATGTATATACATATACACACACATACACACAGATTTAGCTATTCTGCAATGTGTGTGTATCTCTGTGTGTGTGTGTAAATAATGTGGCACACCACAAATACATATAATTTATCAATTTTTTAATTTCAAAAATTTTTTTTCACTAATATACAACCCAAACACATGTTTAAGAGAGTTCTAATTAGATATCCTTTCCAACTCCTGATTTTTTTCAGTCTTTCTTTTATGTATTCTGGATAGTGGATAGTGTTTTTTCATTTTTATTTATTTTGATCTTCTAGTTCTTAAAAGGCTTGAGACCATTTTCACATATGTTCATTGAAAATGTATATAAGCAGGCTGGGCGAGGTGGCTCATGCTTGTAATTCCAGCACTTTGGGAGGCCAAGGCGAGCGGATCACCTGAGGTCAGCAGTTAGAGACCAGCTTGGTTAACATGACAAAACCCCATTTCTACTAAAAACACAAAAAATTAGTCGGCGGTCATGATGGGCACCTGTGATCCCAGCTACTCGGGAGGTTGAGGCAGGAGAATTGCTTGAACCTGGGAGATGGATGTTGCAGTGAGTTGAGATCCCGCCACTGCACTACAGCCTGAACGACAAGAGTGAAACTCTGTCTCAAGAAAACAAAACAAAACGAAAAAGAAAATGTATATAATCGTATTTTCAGGGGTCTGTGCAATTTTTTATACTTTTTCTACTGTGGTAATAATTTATTTTTAAAAACTTCTAAATGATCTTTGAGAAGTTTTTAAAAATAAATTCTTGATGTACATTTTGGGATTTTGTAGCTAGAGGTGGAAATATCTTCTCTTTAAGAAAGAGCTTATTGCCGGGCACGGTGGCTCACACTTGTAATCCGAGCACTTTGGAAGGCCGAGGCGGGTGGATCACCTGAGGTCGGAAGCTCGAGACTAGCCTGACCAACCTGGTGAAACCCCGTCTCTACTAAAACTACAAAAAATGGCCGATCGTGGTGGCATGTGCCAGAAATTCCAGCTACTCTGAAAGTTGAGGCAGGTGGAGGTTGCAGTGAGCCGAGATTGTGCCATTGCACTCCAGCCTGGGCAACAAGAGCAAAACTCTGTCTCAACTAAAAAAAAAAAAAAGGAAAGAAAGAAAAAAAAAGCAAGTTCAAGCTTTGTACATAGGTGATAGTTTTGCTCAGCAAAGTCAGATCTTTAGCCTCTTCAAGAAAAGCCACACATTCAGATTTTTCTGTGAAATGTCCTAAATTTTAAAAGATGGCAACAAATTTAAACAAAATGTCTTAAAAAAACCAAAAACAACAACAACCACAACAAAACAGCACAAAACTCCACAGCACTGAGTGGGCTACTGAAAACCTGCCATGGGCGGGCTGGACGTGCAGGCCCCAAATTTGTCAGCTTTTCAACTCCATGGGCACGAATGCAATTGTGCTGCCGAACTTTATCCCCTTTGAGAAATGTGTGTGTGTGTTTTCTCCTATCATTATTAGGATTTAAATGGCACTGGCAAACAGCCAGGTAAAATTTTCCTTAATTGAATGCCTTCAATCACAGCATGAGCCGCTGGACTTAATAACGTCTCCCATTTACTACTTACACTGTAAGGACAGCATTATTACCCCCACTTTACGATCGATGAAAGAAGTACATAAAGATTGGTAATATGATTGGCAATAGGGGACCCAGGCGCCCAAGCCCCAGGGCGCACGGTCCCTATTCCTTAGTTTCCTGGAGTCTAAGGTTATAACTCCCATAATACCAGTCCGTTTCTTACTCTAGAGTCCTTCTGCCTTGTTTTCTTTAATAACGTTTTACTTCTTTGCAAGAGCATATTTTTAAAAGTTGCTTTTACAATTTAAAGTACAAAAGTAATAATGTGCAGGAGTACGTCTTTGTAAAACATTTAAAGAAAATTTAATTATAGAATAAAACCCCGTTCCCTGCATTCACGGCCTCCACGCTGGCGGAACGACTTGAGAGTTTGCATTGGGTGGACAGCAAACATTTCCCCGAAACAGGCCACGAAGCTT